AACAAGGTAGAAGTAACTGGATATAAGATAGAAGTAATTGGAAACAAGGTAGAAGTGACTGGATATACAAGGTAGGAGTACTTCCTCTTGTATCCAGTTACTGTACCTAGTACAATCAGGGATTGACTGGGTACCTCATGAATAAWAAATGAGTATGAGAAGAAAAACTAAAAAAGAAAATTTGATAAGAATATTTGGATCTGCCATCTTGGATTTTTTAAATCTCATTAAAATTCTAAGAATTAAGGGAAATAGGTCAATATGTATGAACCCTTTGACTCCTTTGGCGCCTGAAACTGCATATAAAAATGTGACTTTTGAAAAAAATTGTTTCTTTCTGAAGCGACTAAGTTTGGTAGCAACTTCTGTATCAACTTAACCTCTAGGAATTGCTCTTTCTTTGATGCTAAATCACTGCGGATATCTGATGGATCACCTGCAAGCTGTCCAAAATGCCTGTGCTCCTCTTATCATGCTCTCAAAAAAACRTGACCACATTACACCTCTACTTATCGATCTTCACTGGCTTCCTGTCTTAGTTTAAAATCCTTCTTCTAACTTTCAAATCTCTCCTGGCCTGACTCCTATTTATGTTCAAGACATGCTGCCTTGTGAAATATTGTCCTTCTCGTTCTCTTTGTTCGTTGTCTCACCTGTTACTGTCTTCCATTCGTTCTTTTAGTGTTGCTGGTCCTTTTCTATGGAATTCACTGACATCTTCAGTTAGAGACATTTCTTCACTGGATAATTTTAAAGCTGCTCTTAAAACCTACTTATCTCAACAAACGTATGATCTGTAACTTTACTTTAGCTTTTTATTTTAATCTTTACTTTTTATTTTAACAATAAAGTTCTGCRATAATACATTTTTGTTTAGAAAATTTTTACACGACGTTTCAACGTTATAAAATGCAAAAGTAAGGATATATATTAATGATATGTTATTTATACGAACAATAAGACCTAACTTAAATACTCAAAGTRACTCCATTAAGGCTAAAGTATTCTTTTAGAACTAATTTTAGAACCTTTTTTTTATTATTATTTGTCTTTCTTTTATTCTTTTATTATCATTGTTTTAACATTATTCTTATTATAATTTTTTTACTCACTATTATTCTTGTATATATATCCTTACTTTTGCATGTTATCTCACTTGATAATGACGTTTGATAATGTCGAAACATCGTGTAAAAATTTTCTAAACAAAAATGTATTATCGCAGAACTTTATTGTTAAATRTTTTTCTAAAACTCTACTTATTCGGACTTTTTATTTTAAGCAAAAAAAAGCTGTATAAGTGCTATATAAGTGCTATTTTATATTATTATTATTATTATTATTATTATTATTATTATTATTATGTGCAGTTTATTAAAACGTCTGAAAGCTTTTGTTCGAATAACCATTTTGTTGTTATTGCATGACATTAAGTAATGAAATTAGTCACAAAGGTAACAAAAACACTGTTCGTATGGAATACCATTATATCTACATTTTGTACCTGACTCAACAGGTAGCTTGTGAGCAGATATCCTTAATTTTGTTACTGATTACCTTTTGTAAATAATTCTCCAAATTTTACATCATGTTTGACTTGCTTGAAGAAATGATATTTACCTTATTTGACCAAAATTCTCAAAAGCATTTTTGAGTATTTTCTTTTAAGATTGAAAGAAAACCTTTCATTTTTTCATTACATATTATATGAAGATCATGGATAGACTTAAGATCACATATTTCCAGAGCATATTCAATATAAGCTACTTCTTGTGTTTTCTTTTCTAAACAAAACTTTGCAGCTTTGCCAACCAAAGATTSWCTACAATGTGCTGAACATGATGATATTTCTTACTGAACWGACTTTTCCCATAAATATTATGTGTATGTGTCTTTTTATCAGAGAGTCAATTCAAACACAGCCAGTAGAGGTGTCCAACCTTGTGTTATCCATGCTGTCATCTGTGACTGGACTCCGGGATATTCATATGCCAGCCGAGTTTGTAAGTATTAAATCCCAATGTATTGTAGAATGGTAGGCTATCAAAAAAAAAAGAAATTATACCTGAACACAGCCACACTAAAAGCTACAAAGCTGATTTTAATTGATTGATGTATTCAAAACTTTTAAGTTGATATTGCTGAGAGAGTTGTTGAATCTGGACAGAGGGCTCTGGATATTATCTTTTGTGATGAATATTATGAATTTTTACCTTGGGTATAATCTTCCTCCGGGATAATCTCCAAGTCCAGTATTCGAGGTCCAGGAATTTACTACCTTTTGCACAAATAAGTTTACTGAATTTGAAGATGGTACTGGTAATAACTAATGTATTGGAATTTTATTGTGTAATTAAGCTACATAAGTGTCATTTATAGTCACTGCTATATTGTAAATGGACACTCACTGTAATTAATTACTATCAACTGCGATAGTGATTAATAGACATTGATCTATTTATCAGTTTTGGACTAATGATTAAACTTCAAAGGCTGCTATTGAAATCATCTGTGTATACTTCTCAGCATTCAACCAGCCAGCTCAAAAAGACAATTTTGGAAATAATTAGGAAAAAGTGTCAGTCAAACAAAATTCCATCTTTTGTTTGTACTTTTATAATTAATACTTTTCTTTTTGTCTCTAGTGCCTGATGCATCTGGAAGATAGATTAAAAGAAATCTATCTGAAGAGCAGAGTAAGTAGGATTGTACAGCCAGATATTTTAACAGTTCTTTTAGAACTCATTAATAATTCATGAGCTATTAGTCCAATCAGAATCCAACTATTGGGTCACATGATGGACCTTTATATCCCAATAAAGCACTGATGTTTTATTAATCAGTTCTATATCAGAGATATAGAACTGATGTTTTATTAATCAGTTCTATATCAGATATAAAGAACTGATGTTGAAGGCCATCAGCGCTTTATCGCAACCCAACACTAGAAAAGGTCTCAGTTTTAATGTTGCATCATAGACCTTTGCTAGGTTTTAAATCAGTTTGAATCAATATGCAGATATGCAGTATAGCATAGACTAGCCGTTCTTACGTGTGGGATCAAAATTCTTTCATTTGTGACAAATGCACATGCTCAGTAGAAGTTTAACATGCATAATCTCTGTTTTCGCATTTTTTAGCTTTTTTCTAAAATGATAACAATTTCTGGATGTTGGAGTTCTAGAAGTAGTATAAAAAACTCGCAGTTGTGCTTTATCGGGGATATAKACACTCGGCCTTTGGCCTCGTGTCTATATCTCCCGATAAAGCACTCCTGCTCGATTTTAAACACTACTTAAAAGAACTGATGCTGCTAAAACTTTTCTTCATGCAGCTAGATTGCAAGCAAATTTGCAGAAAATATAAATAAAGATTGTTAGATTGTAATTTGATAAGAGAACTTTTTCAGAATAGAAGTATAGTTTAAAACATGAGAGAGAGTGTTTTATCAGGTAAAAGGATTCGAGCCGAAGGCGAGAATCTTTATACCTGATAAAACATGATCTCGAGTGTTTTAAACGGCTTCAAAAACTCCAACACTAATTTGAAACTCAAATCCGTTACCATTCCTGAAGAAATTGCCGTAAAAATAAATTTTGGAGATAAATGGGGCAAACTGATCATGCGCGAATCACTTTACAAAGCACTCTTGTCGTCCTATATTTAATAAGCATAAAGTGAAATAGAACCACTGTTGGCTGTTTCTGCAATCGGTTGACATCTTCTGCATTGGTCAATGATCAGGTATCAAACCTGAGACCTTTGCTAGGGTCATGGTCACTAATTTGAAACTCATCCCACATTGAATACGCATAAAGTAAAATAGAAGTGCTGATGGCTGTTTTACTGCAATCGGTTGAAATTGTACATTGGTCAATGATCAGGTATTAAACCACAGACCTCTGCTAGGGTCATGGACCTTTATATCTGATAAAGAATACTAATAAGGAGTGTTTTATCACAGGTAACCCAGGCTCAATAACTTAGTATAAAATATGTCCTTCGCACATTTTTTTTTTTATTTTTGCCTAAATAATATTATTCTAACATAAATAAAACGTCTCTTACCTTCCTCGTTGAAAATCTTTCGTTTTTACATGTAAGAGGTTTTACGCCATTTTTGATATGCCATTGTTTAACATACAGTACTTATATTAATACAAGGTTGGAGACTGGACGCAAAGATTTCCAACAGTAACCCTACTTGCACTAGATTTTTTTGTCATTTTTTTTTTAGCATAAAACTGTTTTAATGGCCCGAGTAAGAACTATAGAAGCAAACGGCAAAGGAATGAAAGAAAGTGCTAATTGTGTATTGTATAATCTATCCATCCCATTTGTTCAAACAAGAAAATCTGCTATAATTTCACAAGTTAGCGCATTTTCTAATATTTTATTTAATATCTGATTCCGACTTCATGAAATCTTTCTTTAGCTACAATATTAAGGCAATTCTATGTAGGGAACATAGCAAATTAGAAGCTTCTTTTAGCTATTGTTTTGAGTGCTTATGATTGGATAAGAGGTTTTAATACAAAAGAAACTTTGTTTCAAATAGAGTTTATCCACATTTTATCTCATAAATGCGTTACCCATAGGTTGGTATATAATCAGTGTGAAAACCAAGACATTTGTATGTGGGGAAGTTGCAATGCCGCAGAACAATAGAGAGTTCTACAGTTCTTACGCGCACTTAAAAATAGTGTAACGACCTTTTTACGTATGTAGTGTTTTATTAAGGCTTTAAATTAAGTCGAGCAAGTTTTCCCTGCGAGAGCGGCTGACATCCTATTGGTTGCTTTCGATTGTTGAGCAATGTCTCCCGTAGATTCGAAATGTTTATTGCCTTTTGTTAGAAATCAGCCAATCCGATTTGAGAATACTCTCTTCTTTTGGGACCCCTGTGCCTCCGGACCAAATTAGTTATAGTCAGCATTCGTCCGAATATTAGAATTCAACGGTCGATAAAAATAACTTCCCGAAAAGCAATTCATTGACGAAGAGCTTCATGTTTATTGTGGAGCAGTTAAATGTGGACAAAAGAATGGATTTTAACAAAAAAATCGAGTGCAAGTAGAGTTACTTTTGGAAATCTTTGCGTCCAGTCTCCAACCTTGTATTAATATAAGTATGTTARACTATGGCATATCAAAAATGTCGTAAAACCTCTTAAAAACGAAAGATTTTCAACCAGGAAGGTAAGAGACGTTTTATTTATGTTAGAACAATATTATTTAGGCAAAAAAAAAAATGTGCTAACGACATAATTTATACTAAGTTATTGAGCCTGGGTTACCTGTGGTTTTATCAGATATAAAGGTACATGCATGTGACCAAACAGACTCATTCTATTGGACTAATGACTCATTAATTATGTATGAGTTTTTGAACTGTAGTTGATATATGTATTTATCGTATAATTACTATGAAATACCTATATTTCTCAATTTCGTAGTTAGTGAAAATAAGTTGATTGAAAATAACACATTCGAGTTTTTTAAGTTGATTGAAAATAACACATTCGAGTTTTCTCTATATGGTGGACGTAAGAAAAAAGGTATTTTATGACATAATTTGCTTTCATATGAAAATGTCAAGAAGCACGAGCTGAAAGCGAAAACTTAAGCAAAAATCCATTTTGTTACCTTTTTYAAAAATCGCTCGCGCACAATCGTGGTTTATACTCTCATAAACCACACTTTTTTGGCATTCAGAGCTCGCATTAGAAATCATCTATATAATAATACATACTACTGTATAAAGATTATTACTGATAAAAAACAGTAGTAGTAGTAGTAGTTTTAGTATTAACCATATGACCTTATCTCTGGTTTTAATCAGGTGATTGCAGAATGGCTGTGTAATAGCAAGAAAGGTATCACTAAATATGAATTGGCAAGAACCTTAGGGTAAGCAAAAGCTGCCTAAGCAGGTTGTCCCCCTTCAATCCTGTCTCATCAAGTCCCTCAGCCAAGTATTACGTCAGTAATAGCGACAGTTATTTGAAATCAGAAGAGATTACAAAACGGTAGCATTTACAATAAAAGAATTTCCATGTATTGAATTTAGAAATATAATAGTTGACGAAAACGCATAATGAATAGTGATGCATCAAATAATATTGATTAATTGATTAACCGAGGAAAGATTACGAACATATTCGGACATATTATTCCAAATTTCAGCAACACGGTTAAAGTAGCTAGATTGCTATTATTTCTGTTGTTGTTATTACTATTTTTACTGCTGTTGTTATTACAAGGAAAAGGTTAAAAGCATGATGGAAATTTGCATGAGCATGCGCTAAAACCTCTGGTACACGTTTACAAATTGCAGATGCGGTTATAATTACACATTGGAGTACAGAAAAGACATATATTTATAAAAAACACAAACAGCAATATTATAAGTAAATGCACAACCTACAGATTATTAGATTCTTTATTAAGCTATACTTAGAAGATTGAACAAATTTAAAACAATTTGATTTTAAAACGAGAATTGTCAATCGTAATCAACTCCGGAATAGGTGAAAGCTACGTGATACATGTACAAAAGAAACGTCACTCAGCTTTTGAAGACAAAGCTGTGCAAAATRATATTGATCGTTTTCACCCACTCCATGAGATTCACAAGATAAAAACCGGCAGCCATGTTGGAGGAATGAACAATAGATACCAATGAGAAATCCTTTGTTAAAGTTCCTCCAAGATGGCCGCTATGACGTAACCTGCAAACGAAGAATTCCTTGAAGCCTCCAAGTTACGATCAGCAGCAAAGACACTTTTGTGCTCATCGGTATGACAGATTAGCAGCATTCTAAAGAAAGAATTCAAACAATCTTAAACGATTATACAAATCTTACTGTATGAGCACAGAACACAAATCAAGCTAATTTTCTTCATGTTCCCCATTTTTTTAAAGAATTTTAGCAATGCATATTGAAAGTATATCAAACGTGCGTTTCAAATCAGTTGCATTTTGTGTGGAGGTCGAGATTAGATTTCGCAAAGTATGCATTCAACTGTTTCTATTCAGTTCTGTTAGAATAAATATATTTTTAGTTTGATAAATTTAGAAGAAAAATTTGCGAGAGTTAAATAATATTTGAGGTATCAACTGTTGATACCGAAACCACCGCGATAATATTAACTTGTTACACCTGACTTCAGTTAACGAGCAACTGACRCATGCGCACACCATACTCCTTCATGCTAAGGTTGAATTTTTTGCGCCTCTTCTGCACACTGTATAGGTAGCCCAACTTCACGCTCATATAGCGTTCAGTAATAATTATAATTATTAGCCTTAAGGAATTACTAAATTCAATCACTGGGCACATCAAGAATAGAGACCAAAATTGGCTTGTGGTTTAAAAAAAACATGATTGAGCTTCATAGATGTGTATTTTATGGTTGCGGAAAGGATTGCAAAGTGTTGACAAAGGCGATTGGGACAATCTGGTATAAAATGGAGGTTTGGTCCTATTGCCACAGTCCTCCTCAGACAAAATGATAGCAAGTCTATTATAAGTAATACCGTGGCACTGAGGGATATTAGGGATTAAATGTTCCCGAAGCCGAGGAGATTTAGTGGAAGTCCCGAGGCCACAGGCAGGAATGACTTTTTGCAATACGCCAGGTTGATTAGAAAGTGACAGAAATGTCAGAAAGTCGCTTTAGTTGAGTTAAAGACGCTGAAGTCGAGAACATCAGAGAGTGGAGCGGCTTTTGTATCAATATGCAAGTCATTAACATTACCTTAACAAGAAATATTTGTAATTCAACGAATCCCAAATACAGGACATACCACGACAAAGTGAATAAATAGTGAATGAATCAACGATTTCAGGAATRATATAAAGTTTTTTTGGTTATCCACTTCGAAAAAATGAACTTTAGTTTTAGTTAAAATGAATACAGCTGTTTGCAATAATTCTGACCCCCTCTGCCATATTTCATATATATCAAACTGACCTTTAATATTATGGGATATCATGACTGATATATTTTTTGAGTTGTCCAGAATGAGTACTTTCTAAAAAAAATATCAGCAATGGTATCCCATAATTTCTAAGACTATTTTGATATATATGAATATTAGTGTAGGGGGGTCAGAATTATTGCAAACGGCTGTATATAATATAAAATATATATAATGACTGACTGTTTATACGCTCTGATGATTTCCCACAATTGAGAGCGACCAGAGAAGATCCGCGTACAACTTCATTAGACGATGTATCGATTTTCAAGGGTTTAGTCAACAAAATCCGAGCCCAAGTGATTGAGATACGTGGGACTAGCTCATGAATAACATCAGGGCAAATTTGTTTTTAAATTGCCCTCATTAATTATTGATGAGGGAAATTTAGTTTCTAAACTGCCCTCATGTTATTCATGAGGGAGGGATGTTAAGATGTAAACGTTCCTCCAAAGACAATGTATACCGAGGTGATCATGTTATTATTTCAATTATTCTTTCAGTATTGATGACAGCGATATGATGTTGCTGCTGGCAGTGGCATCTTCCCACTCTCCTCAAGGAATGGCTAATCTCCGGTAATCACATGGTTTTCAGACGAGATACAGTTTCCTCTGGAATGATGTATTATTACAAGTCCTTCTTCGAACGTCGAGTTCGCTGAGTTGAAGATATAGTTTCCTGTTCAATTATAAATATGAATAAAACTGGTTAACAAGTGCGTGAACCAGTGAAACARATTCGGCGAACTATTATWAWTTTTTTAAGTTTATCTTTTCGATGTATCAGACATCATTTTTTATTTCAATACTCCAGTTTCGAATWCAAAGCGAATAACCGCTGTTTTACTGGATGGCAGATTCTAYTACGCAAAGAACTTACCAAAGACAAAACAAAGCACGATAAAATGTTGTTAATACAATAGMACTAAGAATCTGCATTTTCCCCGAGTTGAGGCTAACCCTGCCCATACCGTAGGTCTTATGGGAATACAGGGTTAATCTCAACTCGGGGAAAATGMAAATTTTCAAGTCTATTGTAATAACGACATTTTCTCGTGCTCTCTTTTGTGTTTGTAAGGTCTTTGCGCAAGAGAATCTGTTGTCAAATAGAGCAGCGGTTATTCGCTATGAATTCGAAACTAGAGTATTCTCTGTGCGGCAGAAGGCGCATAAAGGCATCACCCCTCCATCCCATTTTAGCGTGCAAGTTACGTCATCACCGCCATGTGGGTTGAAGATCACAAAGCATTCCTCATTAGTTTCTCTTGTTCATTCATCCAACATGGCGGCGATAGCTTTGTTCTTTATTTCTCGGGGGATTCCTGGCCATGTGATTGTACAACAAGAATTCTTTACCTTCGGTGTGTTCCAAGCTGCTAGCCAGCCCGTTTTCTTTCGCGACTTACTGGTTTTGAGCCGAACTTTTGGTTCTGGAGATCCGTGGAATAGAAACCATTAGGCCGATCCATTACTAATAATTGCTTATTCTAATTATCGTAGACCGGCGGCACGGTCTTAAAATGCAGCGACATTTTAACTCGAAGATTGCGTTGACCCTGGTTTTTATTCACKACGCAAGGACTAACGCGGAATGCAAGCCCAAGATGTTGAATTTGTGTTGCGTTTCGTTTTAGCAAAACCAAACGTAAGCGCAAGGAAAAAGTTTTTTTATCTCTTACGCTTGCGTTTGGCGGTTTACACAACGAACTAAGGTCTCTGTGTTTGTACTTGCTTCTGCGCTTGGTAAAACCTGACATTAGCCGTGAAGACTTGGGGCTCGAGATTAGTGTTTGTCAGCGTTGTAATTTAATTGATTGCGTTTTACACCCACCCGACATATATTCAGCCAATCACATATTTCTCCTGTTGTATTAGAGATAGCCTGTTATAAGATACCTTAGCTCGCCTTAAGTTTGCGGGTTTCAGAGTGTGCAGTCATTTGAGAAAACACTAGTTTTTGGAGATCTTACAATATTTCAAGTTTTCTAAACTATTGCACCGGAACAAACGTAAGTTACGTCCTTTGTTCTATTCAAGTAATTCAATAATTAATCGTTAGTTTTCTTACAGTTTCACCGAATTTTAAGAATTGTTTCATTGTGAGAGAGGTCAGAGTGGAGCGGGGCTGCTAAGCTATAAAATACCCCAACGCGGTCCCCGGTGACGTAGTGCCTGCAATGATTTCTGATACAAACATGTACCATGGGAAACTTCTAAGTGAAGCTCTCAGTTATCAAAATTCACTTCAAGGAGCTTCAAGGGGTTTACCTCGGTGTAAAAACCTTACGACTGACGTCAAAAACGAAGCTAATRCGTGGTACTGATTGATATTTTATGATACTTTTTACTCGCGCGAAAGCGGCGAGTCAAATACAGCTTTTTTAGTGTTATCATTATTAGTCGGACTAGCTGAAGACTAGGTCGACTTGAGNCTTATGCCTTGAAAACGTAGGTGCGCGAGGATTACGACTTCTGACTTGGGGGACTGGGGTGCGTAGATTTTTGTAGTTGGCACGATTCTCATCACGGTTCTCACTAAGAAAATTGGCTATTTCAACCTCTGTTTCGTATAAATTTCAGCAAGTTAGCATAGTTTGAATAGAGGGATTCATTTTTAAGCGAAAAATAGCTTAAAATACTAATTTTGAATACATTTAAGCAGAAACTCCGACGGTTCTCACTTTATAAGTTAAAACTAAGAGCTAATTACTAACCCATTTTTTTAGTTGTTTAAGTGAGAACCGTTGTGAATCCACTGTATTTCTTAGCTATTTACGCCAAAACTGGCTAAATATTCTCTGCCGGTAACGACTCTCCGTATTTTAGAGCTTAAGTCGGTAATTCGTATTGATTAAGTAAGATTATTTTCACTTTTGTAAGTGAGAACCGTCGACGGGGAATTGAGAACCGTCAAACATAGCGTTCAATAGTTGGTACTGAGAATAAAATTCGCGAACATTCTACATGGCATTGCTTACAAGTTTGCTTTAAATGCATGGTTTCATTAAAATAGTTCACTTTTGTTGGGTTATTTGAATATAGTTTGCAGAAAAAGATACAAAATACGCCAAATTCTATAATGACACAGGGTGCCCAAGTCGATATACACAGAGCCTTTTTGTCCAATAGCGTTGAAAAATGTTCCTTTCACAGACTTTTTGTGCACATGTATAAGCCAAGCAACGTTCAGAAAGAGTGATATATACCCTCTATCAAGCTTGTGTGTTTTATAAGCAGTTTTGTGTGTATAAATGGCTACATGACGTCATTGCCAAGTCAAAATGTCGACTATTTCAATGATAGAGACACCGAATCGAAAGATGATGCCGATATCCTGCTATCCACATTATATCCCTACAAATGTGACAACATGGATATAATTCAAATTAGCAAGACGAAGTTTCTTCTCAGACAATCGTTGCCAAAATACCTTGGACCGTACAATTATTTGCCTTCAGCCTAACATTTTTCTCCTTTATTTTTTGACAGTTTCCCCCGTAGCCCCCTTTCATCAATGTTGGGTCTTGTTTTGGATGCTTGTGTACTATGGTAACATGATCAATGACAACATTGCATTTAGGGGGTCAGGGGGGATGAAATTGTGTGCTGGTGTTGCTTAAAATGACGAAATTCGCTGGAATGGTCCAAGGTTTTTGTCAACGATTGTCTGACGCCTAATTTACTAGAGAAAGGCAATATTTACCAAACTAGTTTTTCATACTTTGAAATAGAGTGAAACATAAAAACACAATTGCTTTTTATGAAATTCCGTCAATTTGAGGTCCGCATATTTAGTGCTTATTGCAGTTAATTCAAGGACAGTAAGACAATACAACAATTCCACATAACTGCGACAAAAGTTTACAGAGCTAAACAAATTATGGAGTATCTAACAGGGCAAAAATTACACGGAAAATAATTTTGAAGTCATTAATTACATTATTCTAATGATATCATAAGAGATTGCACCCCTTATGCCTTGAAAACGTAGGTGCGCGAGGATTACGACTTCTGACTTGGGGGACTGGGGTGCGTAGATTTTTGTAGTTGGCACGATTCTCATCACGGTTCTCACTAAGAAAATTGGCTATTTCAACCTCTGTTTCGTATAAATTTCAGCAAGTTAGCATAGTTTGAATAGAGGGATTCATTTTTAAGCGAAAAATAGCTTAAAATACTAATTTTGAATACATTTAAGCAGAAACTCCGACGGTTCTCACTTTATAAGTTAAAACTAAGAGCTAATTACTAACCCATTTTTTTAGTTGTTTAAGTGAGAACCGTTGTGAATCCACTGTATTTCTTAGCTATTTACGCCAAAACTGGCTAAATATTCTCTGCCGGTAACGACTCTCCGTATTTTAGAGCTTAAGTCGGTAATTCGTATTGATTAAGTAAGATTATTTTCACTTTTGTAAGTGAGAACCGTCGACGGGGAATTGAGAACCGTCAAACATAGCGTTCAATAGTTGGTACTGAGAATAAAATTCGCGAACATTCTACATGGCATTGCTTACAAGTTTGCTTTAAATGCATGGTTTCATTAAAATAGTTCACTTTTGTTGGGTTATTTGAATATAGTTTGCAGAAAAAGATACAAAATACGCCAAATTCTATAATGACACAGGGTGCCCAAGTCGATATACACAGAGCCTTTTTGTCCAATAGCGTTGAAAAATGTTCCTTTCACAGACTTTTTGTGCACATGTATAAGCCAAGCAACGTTCAGAAAGAGTGATATATACCCTCTATCAAGCTTGTGTGTTTTATAAGCAGTTTTGTGTGTATAAATGGCTACATGACGTCATTGCCAAGTCAAAATGTCGACTATTTCAATGATAGAGACACCGAATCGAAAGATGATGCCGATATCCTGCTATCCACATTATATCCCTACAAATGTGACAACATGGATATAATTCAAATTAGCAAGACGAAGTTTCTTCTCAGACAATCGTTGCCAAAATACCTTGGACCGTACAATTATTTGCCTTCAGCCTAACATTTTTCTCCTTTATTTTTTGACAGTTTCCCCCGTAGCCCCCTTTCATCAATGTTGGGTCTTGTTTTGGATGCTTGTGTACTATGGTAACATGATCAATGACAACATTGCATTTAGGGGGTCAGGGGGGATGAAATTGTGTGCTGGTGTTGCTTAAAATGACGAAATTCGCTGGAATGGTCCAAGGTTTTTGTCAACGATTGTCTGACGCCTAATTTACTAGAGAAAGGCAATATTTACCAAACTAGTTTTTCATACTTTGAAATAGAGTGAAACATAAAAACACAATTGCTTTTTATGAAATTCCGTCAATTTGAGGTCCGCATATTTAGTGCTTATTGCAGTTAATTCAAGGACAGTAAGACAATACAACAATTCCACATAACTGCGACAAAAGTTTACAGAGCTAAACAAATTATGGAGTATCTAACAGGGCAAAAATTACACGGAAAATAATTTTGAAGTCATTAATTACATTATTCTAATGATATCATAAGAGATTGCACCCCTTATGCCTTGAAAACGTAGGTGCGCGAGGATTACGACTTCTGACTTGGGGGACTGGGGTGCGTAGATTTTTGTAGTTGGCACGATTCTCATCACGGTTCTCACTAAGAAAATTGGCTATTTCAACCTCTGTTTCGTATAAATTTCAGCAAGTTAGCATAGTTTGAATAGAGGGATTCATTTTTAAGCGAAAAATAGCTTAAAATACTAATTTTGAATACATTTAA